TGCTTGTATTGAAGATGTTGTAGTAGTTGAAGATGCCTTTGCTAGTGGCAGTGTGCACAACATGGCTAAATAGATTGTTGCTAAATTTATACAGGTATTTTGTCTCGTGCATTTTGTATTAGTTTTGCGTTTTGTTTCATTTTGATCATCTTTTATAAGTTGACATAATTTGTTAATTGGCCTTTTAATTTCCCCTTCTTTGGTTTTGAGAGTGGCAACCCTCACTTTTCCATCAGCTCCTTTATATATTTCTTTAACTTTCCCCAGCGGCCAATTTGTTGATGATGAGTTTTCGTCTTTTATTATTACTATATCGCCTTCGGCTAAATTATTTTTTTGTATTTGCCATTTGTTTCTTTTTTGTAATGTTGTTAAATATTCATGTTTCCATCTGTTCCAGAAATCTTTTTTCATTTTTTGTATGTGGTTCCAATGATCAAGTTTGCTTGTTCTTTCGTCTGTAGTTGGTACTGGGTCGTCCAACATAGGACGCCCTATTAAGAAATGAGCTGGAGTTAGTGCTTCTATACTTTCTACATCATTATTCATGGTACAAAGTGGTCGAGAGTTTAGCACTGCCTCTATTTGATGCAGAAGTGTCGTCATTTCCTCATAGGTTAATTTCGATTCTCCAATTGTTCTTTTCAGGTGATGTTTCATTGATTTGACACCAGCTTCCCATATACCTCCGAAATGAGGACTAGCTGGAGGAATAAAGTGCCATTCAATTTTGTCTGCTGCTAATATTGATGCTACTTCATTATTTTCTTAGATAGCTAATTCAAATTCTTTGTCTAGTTTGGTTGCTGCTCCAATAAATGTTGTCCCATTGTCGGAGTACATATGCGCACTTTTTCCACGTCGTGCGAAAAATCTTTTTAATGCTGCTAAGAAGGCGTCAGATGTCAAGTCGGTGACTGCTTCTAAATGAATTGCTTTTGTAGTCATGCATATAAATATTGCTATGTATGCTTTATATGATTTTTGCCCACGACCTCTATAACATCTCATTTGTATCGGTCCAGCATAGTCTATTCCTGTATGCTCGAATGGGTAGTTTTGTGTTACTCTATATTTTGGCAGGTTTCCCATTATTTGCTTTGCGAAATTTTGTTTAAATCTAATGCATTTCACACAGTTACCGCATATTTTCTTAATTATTTTTTTAATACCTATTACCCAGTAGCGTCTTTTAATATATGCTTCCATTACCGAGTTTCCGCCATGAAGTGTTTTATAGTGTGCTTGTTCTGTAATTAATTCCGTGTATCTGTCTCTAACCAGAATGATTGGATGCTTCTGGTTTTCAGTTAGCTCACTGTTAGTTAGTCTTCCTCCGACTCTTAAGATACCTTCTTCATCTGTAAATGGTGTTAATTGAATAATTCTACTTCCTCTGCTGATTTCTTTTCTTTCTTTAATTAATTTCAGTTCTGCTGAAAAGTGTTTTTGTTGATGATATTTAATTAATATAGTTCTAGCCTCTTGTAACTCTTTTTTTGATAAGTATTCTGCTTGATTTTTATTTCTTCTGAGTCGGTTTATGAATCTTAGTATATATGCTATGATTCGTTCCAACCTAGTTAGACTGGAGTTTGTTTCCATAAGTTGTTCTATTATTTCGTTATTTTGGCTTGTAACTGTTGTCAGTATTTTCACTTCTTCTATTTTTTCAGGTTTTGGCCAATCTTTTTCTTCTTTTGTTAGCCATGAGGGTCCGTTCCACCATAATGGATTATATTTTAATTTAGAAGGACATATTCCTCTGGAAGCTATATCTGCTGGATTTTCTTGTGACTTTACATGTTGCCATTTTGTTTTTGGTATCCATTTTTTTATATCTTCAACTCTTGTTCTTACAAATTTTTCTTTATTTTTAATATTTTTAATCCAGCATAGGGTAATCATTGAGTCACTCCAACAGTATATCGTGGCGTTATTATTCAATATTTGTGAAACTCGTCTCATTAATTTTGCAAGTAAATGCGAACCACATAGCTCTAATTTTGGAATTGTCTTTTTGTTTTTTATCGGCGATACTTTGCTTTTAGCTGTTAGTAATTTTACAGATGAACCAATTTTTACGTATATGACAGCTGCGTATGCTGCTTCTGATGCGTCGCAGAATCCGTGAAATTCCCAAGTTTTTGAATTTGTAGTTCCTATCCATCTTGGTATTTTTATTTTATCTATGTTTTGCATATTTTTTTTATATTTATCATATTCTTTTTGTAAATCATTATTGAGCTCATCATCCCAGTCAAATTTATTTAGCCATATTTTTTGCATATATATTTTAGCTGTGACTGTTACTGGTGTCAGCCAGCCTAATGGATCGAAAATATGCGCTGTGTTTGAAAGTATCATTCTTTTCGTCCATTTATTTATATTTTCCATTTTTATAATAAAGTGGAAGTTATCTTTTATTGGATTCCATATAAGTCCTAAGGTTTTTACTGATTCATCTTCATGTATATTGAGTATTTTTATCTCGTTGTCATCTGGTAGTTCTTCCAGTATAGATTCATGATTTGACATCCATTTCCTGAGCTGGAATCCTCTAAGACTTAAAGTTTTATTAATTTTATTTATTTTATGCCTGCATTCTGATATTGAATTAGCTCCTGTCATTAAGTCATCCATGTAGAATTCTTTTTTTATGCTATTTTTTATATCTTTATTTTCTTCTGATTCATCAGCAATTTGATGTAATGTTCGTACTGCTAGAAAAGGTGCAGCTGCGGTTCCATATGTAACTGTTGTTAATCTATATTCCATAATTTTTTCCCTTGCATTTTCTCTCCATAAGATTCTTTGATAATCTTGGTCTTCTCGTGCAATTTTTATTTGCCTGAACATTTTTTCTACATCGGCTGAAGCGACGAATTTCCATAATCGCCATTTCATTAATATATCAAATATATCCTGCTGTAATCTTGGCCCCGTCATCATTATGTCGTTCAAGCTTTTTCCATTTGTCGATTTTGCTGATGTATCGAATACTACTCTTAGTTTTGTAGTGCGACTTGATTCTCTTATCACTGCTTGATGCGGTAGGTAATATTTTCCTATTGTATTATCTTTTACTTTTTCCATATGTCCTTTCTGCTCATATTCTTGCATGAATTTTATGTATTCAGTTCTTTTCTCATTACTCATTTTTTTCTCTTGGTTTAGGAATCTTGCCATTGCTTGATTTCTAGATTCACCTAGTGTGGCATCTTTTTTTAATGGAAGTTTCACTATAAATTTTTTGTCGCCGTCTATTTTAGTGGTGTCATCATAAAATTGCATACATATTTCATCTTCTGCTGTTTTTTCATTGATTGTGTTATCTGCTTCTTCTAGTTCCCAAAACTTTTCTATGTTTTTTGTTGTAATTGTTACTTTACTTCTTTTTGCTGGTTTCTTTAATACTTTGCCTGATATTATCCATCCAAATATTGTTTCTTGGGCGATAATTCCATTAATTTTCTTGAACCCTTTCTTTATTATTTTCGGGATAATGTCACTGCCTATTATTAAGTCGATTTGTTTTGTTTTCATGAATTCAGGATCTGCTAAGTTGTAGCTTTTCCACTGATTCTTATTGTAGTCTATTGTCTTTTCTGGCAATGGTCAAATTAGCTTGTTCATGACTATAAACTCTTCTTTCATATTTATATTATTAATTTTAGATTTTATTTCCATTATGACCTTTGAATTTGCTTGCCCTACTGAAGTTTCAGCAAGCCCAGTTAATTTAATATCGGTTTTTACTTTTTGTAAACCTAAGATATGAACAGCTTCTTCTGATATCATTGATGCTTGGGATCCTTGGTCTATAAGCGCATGTAGTTCTTTATATTCTCCTCTAATTGTTTTCCCTTTAACTATTGCTGTTGGTAGTAATACTACTTCGCTTTCATCTTTTTTTGTTACTGCGATCACCTTAGTTTTTGTTGATTTATCCTTTTTTTCTTGTTGATGCTCATTATGTAGCAAGGTATGATGATCTCTACTATTACATATCTTACATGTGTACTTTGATATGCATTTGTCTTGATTTTTATGGCTCAGGCAAATTTTACACGTGTCGTTAGCGTTTAGAAATGCTCTTTTATTGCTGATAGGCAATGAACTAAATGATGAGCAGCTGTATATTTTGTGCCCCTGTTTTCTACAAAATGCACAGCTAAAGTTTATAGATGTATTTATTTGCTGATTTACTGGTAATCGTCTTTCAATATTTGACATTGCTGAAAATTTTCTGCATTCGTTTGTTGTATGTCCCGCCTTATTACAGTACGCACATATTTTCTTCGGATAATTTATCTTTCTATCGTCTGTTTCTTTATTTTTCATAGCATCTAGAGCTTGAAATTGATGTTCTAAAAATTTTTGTACCTCATCTAAGCTTTGTATTTCAGTTGTATTTTTGGCACCTAACTCGTACATCCTTAAGCTTTCTTTGTCCAGCTTTCTTAATATTATTCGTGCTATTAAAGGTTCTGCATTATTAAGGTCGATACCCATTCCTTTTATTGTATTAATGCATTCGTTTGTTGTGTCTGTTAGCTGCCTTATACTTTTAGCATCCCCTACTGTTGTAGATGGTTGGTCGAGTAATTGATCTACCTGTGTTCTAAATAACCACCTTCTGTTATTGTATCTTTTTTGTAGCATTTCCCAGGCTGTTTTATAATTAGCCTCAGATACATTCATATGCTGGATTAATCTGCCAGCTTCACCTTTTACTACTGCCTTTAATCTATACATTTTTTCGGAATCTGGTATATCTCTTATATGTATAGCTTCATGAAACAAATTAGAAAATGTGTTCCACTCTTTTACATCTCCGTAGAACGTCGGCATCTTGAATGGTTCTAGCTTTACCGGCTCCAATTCATTTTTTACCACTAGTTCTGCTTTTTTTTTACTTTCATTTAATTGATAAAGTACAATGTTTAGTTGGGTATTGATCTGTTTATATGTTGTTCTGCCATTTTTACTTATTTCCAGTGTGTCATTATATATAATCTCTATATTTTTTTGTTGTTTTTTTAATTCTTCTATTCGCCAATCTGGTACTTGAAGTTCGTTGTTGTAATGAATTTCTAACATTGCATCTAAATCTTCTTGCAAGTCGTCAATCAGCCTCATTAACCTGGTTTCTAATTTACTGATTTTTTTAACCTCTTTTTTAGTGTCAACTATAGTTATATCATTGTCTTCTGATATTTTAACCGCTTCACTTTCTTCTTTGTTGACTTTTTCCGTTGTTTCAGTGGTATTATCGGTTTCTAACATCTTTTTATAATATTTTTGGATTGTATCGAACCAACATTCTTTAAAGTACTCATCTGTTTCTGCGCCTTCTTTTAGTAGTTCTTCGTGGTTTACCTGAAATTTTTTCCAGTTCTTTTCCACTTTTTCTATTTTATCGGCTGTCTTACGTAGTCCCTTTTCTTTAATTTTTTCTACTGCAGTTATTATTTCTTCTCCAAGCTTTTTTTGCGCTTCATAAAGCTTTAGTTTTTGTGCCATATTTGTTGTGTTTTTTTTTTATATAAAATCTTCTTTTTCGAGTATTTTAATTTTTAATCGTCTTCTGAGGTGGATAGCTGCCGCTGTCTATTGGCTGCCGCTGTCTCTTAGCTGCCGTCGTGTCGTAGCTGCCGCTGTCTTTTTGGCTGCCGCTGTCTCTTAGCTGCCGTCGTGTCGTAGCTGCCGCTTTCTATTAGTAAAAGGTCACTGCCGCTGTTACTCCCGTTGGATTGACCCTATTTCTACCTAATATTACAATTTTTAAATCCTATTGGTGTCTATAGCGATTAACGCCTCCGACCCTGATCAGAATGCGTTAGTAAAACGCCGCTCCGACCTTACAATTTCTCTAACTAAATGTATATTTATTTTTTTTTTCTGCCGCTGCCCTTCAATGATGCACGGCTTCCTTCGCTACAGCACTTCGGCCACTAAGCGCTGTTTATGGTATCGGGAGGATACCAAACAAACAAATTTTCTGTCTGTTTTTTTTTTTTTTGTTGAAATATTTCTTCTTCTTGAAGGAATATTTCGCACCAATATAAAGTTTTGGTGATTTTTTTTTTTAATATCCTTAGGTCTCTTACCACTGGTGATGGAAAACGCTAAGGCTCGAAGGACCAAATGTTCAGAATTAAAACAACTGAACCGTTTGAGTATTTGTAAATTACTGATTTTATTTAAAACAACGTTCTGTATTTATACAAAAATATCTTAAGATTAATTTTACATCAAGGTTATTATTTTAATGGACTGTATTACATTTTGTTATTGTTTGTAAAAAAGGTTAAAAAAGGACGGAAGTCCCAACACTAGGGATTTTCCTCCTATTGTTTCTATAAATATATTTATTGTTATAATTAGATACGGATGCTCAAATGTTACAATGCTTGCTATATTAATATAATGTATTTTTACCCTTGTACATTATTCTGGGAATTTAGGTGATAAGGTTTTAAGCGATAATAATAAACTAAAATAATATAATATATAAAATAATTAAATATTTATAAATTTATGTTCATGATTGAACACCATGAAACAAAAAACAAATCTACTTTTGCAAACTGCATAACACATGCAATCGTTTGATGTATTTTTTAATATATATTTAATAATACTAAGAAGTAGTACAATGTTGTACGTTAATTTTTGAAATTATTTATATATTTATACTTCTAATATAAATTGATGAAAAGGTTTTTTAAATAGAGTACCAAATAAAAAATTAACAAAAATTACTTTTGAAGCATAATCATAAATTTCTTTAACTCTGCTAGAGGTATTTGTTAATGTTATATTTTGAGTTTATAGGTAATATTAATATTTAATTAATTATAAAATTTGATGAGATGGTACAATGTTGTAGAGTATATTTAGAAAAACATATATATATTAGAATATTTTGGTATATAAAACATGAGTAACACGATTTTGCAAAATCAACAAAAATATTTTGCGTACCATAAAACAAAACACAAATCTTCTTTCGCAAACTGAATAAATATATATATACATATATTTATATATATACATATATATATATATATATATATATATGTGTGAATGAAACAACATATATTTTCGTATATAAATTATAAAAAATAGGTAGTACGACTTTGCAAAATTAACAAAAATATTTTGCATACCATAAAACAAAACACAAATCTTCTTTTGCAAACTGCATAACACATGCAATCATTTGATGTATTTTTCAATATATATTTAAAAATACTAAGAAGTAGTACAATGTTGCACGGTAATTTTCAAATTATTTATATTTTTCTAATATCAATTGATGAAAAAGTTATTAAAATCGAGTACCAAACAAAAAAGTTAACAAAAACTACTTTTGAAGCATAATCATAAATTCCTTTAACTCTGTTGGAGGTATTTGTTACTGTAATATTTTGAGTTAATACGTAATATTAATATTTAATTAATTATAAAATTTGATAAAATGGTACAATGTTGGAGAGAATTTTTTAAAAAACATATATATATATTAGAATACTTTGGTATATAAAACATGAGTAGCACGATTTTGCAAAATCAACAAAAATAGTTTGCATACCATAAAACAAAACACAAATCTTCTTTCGCAAACTGAGTAAATATATATCTATTTATGTATGTATATATGTGTTTGTATCAACATATAACATTTATATACGAAATATAAATTATAAAAAGTAGGTAGTACGATTTTGCAAAATTAACAAAAATATTTTGCATACCATAAAACAAAAAACAAATCTTCTTTTGCAAACTGCATAACACATGCAATCGTTTGATGTATTTTTCAATATATATTTAAAAATACTAAGAAGTAGTACAATGTTACACGGTAATTTTTCAAATTATTTATATTTTGCTAATATGAATTGATGAAAAAGTTATTAAAATCGAGTACCAAATAAAAAAGTTAACAAAAACTACATTTGAAGCATAATCATAAATTCCTTTAACTCTGTTAGAGGTATTTGTTACTGTTATATTTTGATTTAATACGTAATATTAATATTTAATTAATCATAAAATTTGATGAAATGGTACAATGGTATAGAGTATTTTTTGAAAAACATATATATATTAGAGTATTTTGGTATAAGATTCTTTGATAATCTTGGTCTTCTCGTGCAATTTTTATTTGCCTGTACATTTTTTCTACATCGGCTGAAGCGACGAATTTCCATAATCGCCATTTCATTAATATATCAAATATATCCTGCTGTAATCTTGGCCCCGTCATCATTATGTCGTTCAAGCTTTTTCCATTTGTCGATTTTGCTGATGCATCGAATACTACTCTTAGTTTTGTAGTGCGACTTGATTCTCTTATCACTGCTTGATGCGGTAGGTAATATTTTCCTATTGTATTATCTTTTACTTTTTCCATATGTCCTTTCTGCTCATATTCTTGCATGAATTTTATGTATTCAGTTCTTTTCTCATTACTCATTTTTTTCTCTTGGTTTAGGAATCTTGCCATTGCTTGATTTCTAGATTCACCTAGTGTGGCATCTTTTTTTAATGGAAGTTTCACTATAAATTTTTTGTCGCCGTCTATTTTAGTGGTGTCATCATAAAATTGCATACATATTTCATCTTCTGCTGTTTTTTCATTGATTGTGTTATCTGCCTCTTCTAGTTCCCAAAACTTTTCTATGTTTTTTGTTGTAATTGTTACTTTACTTCTTTTTGCTGGTTTCTTTAATACTTTGCCTGATATTATCCATCCAAATATTGTTTCTATTAATTTTCTTGAACCCTTTCTTTATTATTTTCGGGATAATGTCACTGCCTATTATTAAGTCGATTTGTTTTGTTTTCATGAATTCAGGATCTGCTTGCTATATTATGCTTGCTATATTAATATAATGTATTTTTACCCTTGTACATTATTCTGGGAATTTAGGTTATAAGGTTTTAAGCGATAATAATAAACTAAAATAATATAATATATAAAATAATTAAATATTTATAAATTTATGTTCATGATTGAACACCATGAAACAAAAAACAAATCTACTTTTGCAAACTGCATAACACATGCAATCGTTTGATGTATTTTTTAATATATATTTAATAATACTAAGAAGTAGTACAATGTTACACGGTAATTTTTCAAATTATTCATATTTTGCTAATATGAATTGATGAAAAAGTTATTAAAATCGAGTACCAAATAAAAAAGTTAACAAAAACTACTTTTGAAGCATAATCATAAATTCCTTTAACTCTGTTAGAGGTATTTGTTAGTGTTATATTCTGAGTTTATAGGTAATATTTATATTTAATTAATCATAAAATTTGATGAAATGGTACAATGTTGGAGAGAATTTTTTGAAAAACATATATATATTAGAATACCTTGGTATATAAAACATGAGTAGCACGATTTTGCATACCATAAAATAAAACACAAATCTTCTTTCGCAAACTGCATAAATATATATATATTTATGTGTGTGTATATGTGTATGTATCAACATATATTTTCGTAGATAAATTATAAAAAATAGGTTGTACGATTTTGCAAAATTAACAAATATATTTTGTATACAAACAACAAATCTTCTTTTGCAAACTGTATAACACATGCAATCATTTGATGTATTCTTCAACATATATTTAAAAATGCTAAGAAGTGGTACAATGTTGCACTGTAATTTTTCAAATTATTTATATTTTTTTAATACGAATTGATGAAAAAGTTAATAAAATCGAGTACCAAATAAAAAGGTTAACACAAACTACTTTTGAAGCATAATCATAAATTCCTTTAACTCTGTTAGAGGTATTTGTTACTGTTATATTCTGAGTTTATAGGTAATATTAATATTTAATTAATCATAAAATTTGATGAAATGGTACAATGGTATAGAGTATTTTTTGAAAAACATATATATATTAGAGTATTTTGGTATATAAAACATGAGTAGCACGATTTTGCAAAATCAACAAATATATTATGCATACCATAAAACAAATCTTTCACAAACTGCATAAATACATATACATTTATATATATATGTGTATGAATCAATATATATTTTCGTATATGAGTTATACAAAAAAGGTAGTACGATTTTGCAAATTTAACAAAAATATTTTGCATACCATGAAACAAAAAACAAATCTACTTTTGCAAACTGTATAACACATGCAATCGTTTGATGTATTTTTCAATATATATTTAATAATACTAAGAAGTAGTACAATGTTACACGGTAATTTTTCAAATTATTTATATTTTTCTAATATCAATTGATGAAAAGTTATTAAAATCGAGTACCAAATAAAAAAGTTAACAAAAACTACTTTTGAAGCATAATCATAAATTCCTTTAACTCTGTTAGAGGTATTTGTTAGTGTTATATTCTGAGTTTATAGGTAATATTTATATTTAATTAATCATAAAATTTGATGAAATGGTACAATGTTGTAGAGTATTTTTTGAAAAACATATTTATACTAGAGTATTTTTGTGTATAAAA